ATGATATCAAATGTTAATTTGTTAATGAAAGAAAAATGTACAACACAGTTTTTGAGAATAAATAATTTTTTTAATTATATTTTAGCAATTCACACACATAAAATAATTATATTCCGGCTTATTCTTTGTTTAGATTTTGCTTTTAACTATACTTCACATATAATGTTGAAATTGACGACTGCCATCTATTCATCAATTGCATGTTTACGCATTTCACCACTATGACGTACACGGCGCTGACTATCGTTTACTTATTTGTTCTGACAGGGCACCCCTTTGGTAAACACACGACCCGACATTTCTGCTAGCGTTTCAATTTTGGCGAAAAAATCTTGCAAACCGAAACAAGAGGATTGGAACGAATTGAAACGTGTGCTGAAGTATTTGAAGGGAACTGCAAATTTAAAATTGGCAATCAGCAAGCACAATTTTAATGGTCAATCATTGTATGGTTTCTCGGACGCAAATTGGGCAGAAGACAGAAATGATCGTAAGTCAAACAGCGGTCATGTTTTTCTTGTAAACGGTGGCACCGATTGTTGGTCATCAAGAAAACAATCATTGACTGCATTGTCAACATGTGAGGCAGAATTTGTTGCGTTGAGCGAAGCATGTCGCGCAGCTTCATGGATTAGACGAGTTTTAATCAGTTTGAAGCAGAACATTCCAAACGAAACAACAATTTACGAAGACAATCAAAGTTGTTTGGATCTCGTTGCTGAGGAACAGCGATTATCAGATCAATCAAAACACATTGACACGCGATTTCATTTTGTCAAAGATTACATCAGCTAGGGATTGATCACATGCGTTTACTGTCCAACTGAGGAGATGTTGGCTGACATATTAACAAAGGCATTACCAGTAACAAAATTTGAAAGGTTTCGACTACAATTCGGATTGCGCGATTAATTCCAACATTTTTATATCGAAGAAATCGGAATAAAAAAAATCGAATTACCTCTTAATCGCATCCTTGGGTCTATGAATGGAGTTGGTTCAAATTCAGGATATAGAGGTTCGAAAAATGGTACTTCTTAAAAATTCATTCAAAAAGTCATGTCATTATCATTCAGCCTAGTATAGCAAACTTTCTGATATATCAACCATCTACTACATTGAAACAGAAAAATAATACTTTTTTTTTGTTTTGGAATCTTTTGAAACTGTTGTCTTTGAATTTTTCAAACAAAAACATAAGCCAAGCCTATTTACCAAATGTTCAAAGCACTAATTAGGCATTTAGATGTGTAAATATAGTATTTTGAAAGACCAGGAGAATAAGAGAAAAAAGTATGAAGGAAAAACAAAATTAGGCAATGATAGGATTAAACGAGTAAAAGCGAAGAAGAAAATTCAAATTCGCACTAATGCGTAATTCAAATCACAGGAATGAAACCTCTACTAAAGATCTAGATAGTGGCAACAGTGGTGATGGGATTTTTAAATTTATTTGACGCCATGTTACTATACTTGTCCATTATAACGTACAGATATACGTAACATAAGAAACACACAATCCATGTCGACGCTAGTGGACATAAATGATTTGAAGAATAGGAAGAATACTTGCAACCGTCAAGGTGAAGTAGATGGAATTTGCAAACATACGATGAAAATGACTTACAAATTGTGTTTCAAAATACTTTCACTAATGTCGACACCATTCTAACTCGAAATATTGACATTAAAAATACGTGTTATTGTTGTTGTCGTTTCATTGTATTCAAATACAATACAATAAAATTAAAAAAATTAAAACAAACTATTTTACTTATTGTAATTCAGTTTACTACAGTTCATGCAGTTTTGTTGAAAGTTTTGAACAAAATGTGATAAAGTATGTTTAATATGTCTTTAGAAAAAAATTAAACGTAGATTCAACGGAATTCAAAAGAAAAGAAGCAGCAGCAAAGGTCATCGCTAGAGGACGAATTTAACTACCACTCCACACATTAAATATCACAAATGCTCCTGTATAATAAAGGCTGTGCTGCATATTTAGTCATGATTTGTGTCAGTTGTTTAATTAGGTGTTGTTGGTGTAATGTAATCTAACAATTTTGCCTATATAATTTCTAATGCATATATTAAATCAATATCGGAATTAAAAAATGATGGAAATTTTCTATAGCATTTATGAATTGACTTCATTTTTTTCTTACTCTTATACTCTGTTGGAATTAATGAAGAAAACCAAATGAAAGCATATTATAACAAGGGTTTTGTTATGGAATATAATGGGTATGTATTTTTGCATCAATATCGTTTGCTTCTCGAATTCCACGCATCGCACACGTACGCGTCTCAATAGATACCGCCAGTCTTTATAATTATTCTTTTCTTTTACATTTTTTTTAATACAAAATATTTCATTTCGTCGTATGTGTGTAGCAGTAGTGTGCGAGGAAAATTTTTCAGGGGGGATGATTTTCCAAAAACAAAAAATTCTCTAGCAAATTAGACAAATTTTCATTTTTTTTTTTTTGGAAGTCACTTTTTGAGTCGAAAATCCCTAGCAAATCGAAAGAATTTTCTCCGCGAAAAACCCTATCAAATCGGAAAAAAATCTCTCGGAGCCAAAAACCTTAGCAAATTGAAAGAATTTTCCTCAATTTTCTACATTGATGAGCTAAAAAAAAAAAAAAGGTCTTCACTTTTTGAATCAATAACCCTAGCAAATTCGAATAAATTTCACGAAAAATAAATTCTCATCCAAATCACAGGGGGGGCATTTGAATTTTGAATGTTTACGTGCGTAGACCACAAATATACACAGAACAATCTATAACTCTATGTATTCTCTGGCATTGTTCCTCTATATATTGGGTGTGTGCATTAATTTTAAAGGATTGATAAGATATGGCGTAACTTAAAATAGTGTGTAGCTTGACAGGTGAATCCAATTGCATTTTGGTACATGTGACATTTGCCAATCTAATTCAGAGCAGAAAGATTTATTTTTGACACAGTGTCATTATTTTCTGATCTATTCAAAATGAGTGATGAAAAAGTGTTTATCTGTCTGGTCCTCCTTTGGTTCAATTTTTTCACTTTAAATAAAGTGAAAATACATCTAAAGGTTATAAAATGTTGCAGGAGACGAGACCTCTCATTCGCCACAGAGAATGTTGAATTTGGTGAAAAAGGAGTGGTGAATTTGTTGAAAAACTGTGAACTCACCAAAAAAAATTGAATGATGGGCTATTGGCGTTTTAAATTCAATAAAGATGTATGAAAATGCATCAGAAAATATCAGAAGCATTAAATATATGCGAATCAATCATTTTAAGACTTCTATAATGAGGTAAGACCAAAGGAATTTTGTGCCACACCAGTTGAATCCAAAACTAGTTGTAAGATGTTTTTCACATTTTGGCACAATGTTCCAAAAATAGGAGAGAAAGGATTTTTGTATCGTATTGTAACTGGAAGTGAAGAAGGCATCTGCTACGATAACCCCAGGCATAAAAATAAGGGTTCAATCCCACACAATCATCAAAATCTATAGCATAGCGGGATTTTGATGATTTCTCGGTAATGCTCATTATTTGGTGGGATTAAAGTTGTGTGGTGTATAATGAGCTACTGAAACCGGGTGAAACTGTCACGGGGGATCGGTTTCGACTACAACCAATACGTTTGAGCAGAGTACTGAGAGAAATATTGAAAAAAACTGCGACAAGAAATAGTCGAAGGATTTATCAAAATTTGACATATTTCAAACATCGCAAAAGAAAAGATAGGGGACTCTGGTCGGGATGAGCTTGATCACCTCCCGTACTCTCCAGACCTTGCCCCTTCTGACTACCACTTGTTTCGATCAATGCAAATGGGCTTGTCTGAGATATCGTTCCGAAATTCTGAAGGATTGCGAAAATGGGTCGATCAATGGATAGCTGGAAAAGATGAGGAATTCTTTCGACGTGGAATCGACAAGCTGCCAAGAAGATGGGCCGAAGTCATAGCTAACGATGGCGAATACATTGGTTAATGTACTCATTCATTTAGTTCTGGAATAAATGTATCTTTGAACACTAAAATCCTTTAAAATTAATGCACACACCCAATAGATGTTTCATCTGTCACATGTTCTCGTCGATTCTACTTCTCCGATTATTCTCAGTTATTATATTTTTGTATGTGTATGAAGTTCATGCTATGAACCATGTGCCTCTTTCCTAATTTCAACGAAAATTTGTTTACGTACATTTTGTCCATTATTGATATACTCACAACTAAATTACATTGCTTCAAGCTTCGTTCGAAATGAAATGAAATTCGAATGATTGGTTCCCCCTTGGTTTAAATTCAATTTTCACGTAATTGATGAAATCGAAACGCTTTCACGGAACCTACTTCCATATTTTGTACACAAACATACATATATAGAAAAGATATCTTATTTCAGAGACTGAATAAAATGCTTTCAAGGTATAGAATAAAAATTTACTAATTCTAATAATTCAAGATTGATTATCTGCCAGAGAGTAGAATGTTGGAATACACTCGTGTTAATCACGCACAAGTCACGAAATGATGACAGTTACAATATATTATTCAAAATTCAAAACTTTAAATATTGACAGTTGTTTCTTCTTTTGATGAAATGCCATAACTTCATTGAAGGTTCATACATTTTATATGGTCAGTCTTAAACAGGCATTCAATCGAATCAGTTCACTTTAAATAAACAGTAAACAAATAAAAGCATACGGTCTTCGCTTCTTTCTATTCTTTAATATTTTCTTTCAGAGTTTCATTGTGTAACGCAGATAAGGTTTGTGAATATACATAGGTAAAATCACACTAAAGACATTTATTTCTAACATAGAAAACACTACCGTTATATTAATATTATATTATTAGCACTTATGAATAGTTACTATTTGATCAGAATGGACTTCACATTTGTACACGTTTTGATATTTCCTACGATATGATTCCGAATGAATTATTGACTCATTGATTTATTGGCTTAAAATTAACATTGGAAATTAAATTAAAATACGGCACTGAATTTGGAGTTTTATTTTAGTATTTTAAGTCTCGATAATCACATTAGCAATGTGACATTGCCAAAGTGTATTGACAGTGGTGTTATTTAAAAAAATCGAAATGTGTACAAATGCATACATAGGAATCGTTGCGGCGAAAAAAAAACTTTTATTTTTCTCCAAATAATACTATAATAGTATCTATAGCGGAAGCGTTTTCTACTCTCTGTTGTTACTTTTTTTTTTGGTTTTTTAACGATTCGGAAACAAGTTTTTTTTGTATTTGTATTAGTTTTACGAAAACATTGTTTCGATTCATCGGAAAAGGAATTTAATCAATTTTCATGTTGATTGATGTCGAACAATTATGTTAATGAAAAATTCATCAATAAAATAATCTCATCAGAAAGAGAATATTTTTATTTCAACGTCACGTGGCTATATTAACAATGCAGCTTTCAAAAGTTAAACTTTTGCATTTGATTAATAGTGTCTATCGACCGCAAATATGTTGATATTAGTAAATTAAAGCCAATTCGGTCTGGTTTGAGTTGATATTTTATTAGAATATACCCAAGTCAGTATAATACTCTTTTCAAAGAGTGTACACGCTCTTCTCACACTCTTCGTATAGTTTTATTCGACTCCCTTCTCACACTCTTCTCACACTCTTCTCACACTTTTGCATAAAACACGTATATTGAGTGAGAACTGCTGTCACTGCATTCCAGTGGAAGTAATGTTTGTATTTTGATATTTGAACGTTTATAGCATTCGTCAGCTGTGTCAAAATTCAAC